TAGGAAACATTCGAAGTAATGATTATTATCAATTACGAAACGCTTAAATACAGCCCCGGCATATATAGCACATAAAGAAATCTCCGACACGCTAGCTGCTGAGATGTGTGACGTCACATGTTGAACATGATTTGCACAAGCAGGCAATGTCCCATGACATCTTTCACATTTGCAGTGCCTGTTTTGTCATCTTCTATTCAATTATTTCTCTTACTTCACTACCGTCAGGCTAAATGTTAAATCTGTTGCCTTACTCTAAACCCTGTGCATGGTATTATTTTGATGAAAAATGCAGCGATACAAAAAGAAAGGAATCTGTCACTTGTACACAAAATAAGACGCCGTTGTATTTTCAGCTACATACACCGCGCGGTATGTTCGGCGTTTCCAGAGGGAACAAACGCCCTCCATGAAATCATTCCGGGTTTTTTTTTTTCAATTTGAAAGTGTGTTTTTTCATTTTATTGTTCATTAACTCCTATCCTGTGTATTTAAAAACAAAAACAAATTTATTCATCAGAATCGGTTTATTCTTTATGGGATGTCGTCTGCTTGGACAGGATTTGTCCATACTGTGACGTAATTAAAACATCGTTATTTTTCTGGCGAATCTCTCGTATATCCCAGATGCCATTGAGGCGGTTTTATTTCTATTGTTCAAAATCACCCGATATGTAGTTGACCTAAAACTTGTACGATGGCCATTTGTTAGCTTACCAGATTCTAGTGATACGTTATTTGCGATATTTTCTTTTTTTGAACGGGCACTTTAATCTCTCTGATACATTATCAATTAAATCGTCCCATTTTTATAATGCTAGTTTCCTTTTTAGACGTTATTTTTTTCAAAGGTATATTTACGTCTCTCCCACGGAAATAAATTTATTTACTTGTCTATAACTTCTCTCCTAGTTTCTTTATATAAAATGTAAATATTCAATTCTATTCTTGCTGGAGATATTGAATGCATCTCTCTCTCTATCTCTTCTTCTGCTTGCTCTCCTTCTCTTGCTCTGTCTCTGCATCTCTCTTTTTCTATTTTCTCCCTTTCCCGCCTATGGCTCTCTTGTTTTCCCCGCTCTCCTTCTTTTGCTCTGCATCTCTCTTTTTCTACTCTCTCACTTTTCTGCCTCTGGCTCTCTTAATTGTTTTGTCCGCTCTCCTTCTCTTGCTCTGTCTCTGTATCTCTCTTTCTCTACTCTCTCCCCTTTTCGCCGCTGGCTCTCTTGTTCTGCCCGCTCTCCTTCTCTTGCTCTGTCTCTGTATCTCTCTTTCTCTACTTTCCCGCTTCTGGCTTTCGGCTCCCTCTATCATGCCTTCGGATGCTCCTTAATTTTCTCTTGACCTTCCCTTTGCCCCTTGTATTCTTATTTCACACCTACCGCGTTTCCTCATCGTCCTGCCTCCTTTCAAGTGCATGCAATCTGATTCCTCTTGTATCTCTCTGTCCAGCTCATTTATTTTTTACAGGACTATATACCCCGTCTCCCTCCTTCTCTCTCTATATATATATCTACTGCCATCTTTCTCTCTCTCTCTCTCTTTATCTTTCCGTTAACACCATAGACCCTTAGGAAAAAAAAACAGGCAGACCACCTCATTCGTCAAGTGACGAATTCAAATCTCGTTTTCTATACGTTTTAGACAATTATAATTTGTAACTTTTTTGATTGAAGTTATAGGAATCCAAATATGTTTAAAATAATGGGTAAACAGTTACATATGTGTATGCTGGTCTTAATTCTATAAGGACTGATGCTATCTACTGTCTTCATGACACGTATGTTTGTGAATTATGTTTTCATGATTTTGTTTTGATTTGTTTAGTTTAGTCGGTACGAGAAACATCACTATCACCATCATGCCACCCTTTTTTTCGATGGCAACACCAATAAGGCTCTTGCCTTTTGTAATTGAGCCGTCTCTTCATTCATGCATTGTTATTTCATGATTTCCTCAACAATTTGTGTCAATGTACTCTTTAACAAAATAAATGAATGGAATAAATGTCAAATTGAACTTGAACCATCATCATCATCATTTGCATCATCATTTTTACCAAGTCCATCATCATCATCAATTTCATGCACCATCACCACCATCATCATAATCATCACCAGTGCCATAATTTATCACCATCGCCATTACCAGCACAATAATAAAAGGAAAATCAGTATAAACATTATTTATGCAATCAGGCCATTTTTTATTTTATTATATAAATTGAGATATTTTAAAAACTTATATCTATTTAAACAAAAACACAATTAACTAAATGAATTCATATTCTAGATAGCCACGACTTCATGACAAAGATAAAATTGAAAAAACAAACAAAACAGAATTGATGTAATTCAATATACAAATTTGGCAATAAATATAAGTGAATGCAATATAAAACATGATATATTTGGCATTTCTGAAAAGATTTGGTGTTTGAAATACTTTGAGAGTGGAATAAAGTAGGTTCCATATATGATAGTCAGGATTTACACCCCACAACATCACTTATAAGCATACCTGAAGCGAAATAAAGTAAAAAATACTTCCAAACATTACTCCCTCCCAACAAAACCACCTAAACATAGCCATATTTTTTAGTTGGCATTAAAGTCCGAGCCGTCAACAATTAGTTTGAAGAAAAGAAAAAAAATCAACAAATGATCAGTTCTGTCGTGACAACAACGTTACAAACACAGCATTTCTAGATTAATTTCAGAGAAAAAGGCTAGTAAGCGATCACAGGGAGAGAATATTCTTAGGGTAATTCCAGAGAAGTAACATAACATATTAACAAATAGTTTCACGAGACATTGAAAAAAAATCGCATCGACACCCAAGCAGCACATTGAAAACAACACCTCCTCCATGTTTCGGCCTTTTACGTCTTACATCAACATCAAATTATGCAACTAAGAATCTACTGTTAAGCGTACACAGTATTTACAGACATTTATAGCACAATTAATATATAATGGTTAATAAGACTTTCTTAAACAAACATTGCCTAATGGCCACAAGATTTTTCCTTTTCGAAAATTCTAATTACCAGCCATTTGAATTCATGTTTTGCATAGAAATAGATATATTTTGTCCTCGCATGTACATCCCAATATTTCAATTCTCATAACTTATCATTGGGAATACACAATGGATCTTTCTAGCAAAGACATGAATGCAATAAGCTTAGATTAGATTTAAATGAGCTTGTGAGCAGTGTTCTGTTTATTGAAGGATTGGAATTTCATCTATCTTGCTTCGATGTCAACGAACTATGCCGAGGCGCAGTATGATGTAACAAAGCAACCCAGATAGAGAGATGATGGCGACGAGCATAATCGCCATGCAGCAGGTATTGTATCTGTAATAGACAGAAAGGAATTTATAAGTTATTTCAACTTTCAATGAAAACTTGGTTGACAACTTAGCATCATGAGACTAGCCACCAGTCATTTCGATGGCGTGGGTTAAAATCTCACCGCTGCCACCGTGTAATGTGGTGTTGTTTGTCTGTATTACTACAACACATGAACTTCATTTTGACAGTGCAGCAAGATTGTATTTGATCATGTAAGGTCAATATATAACATGTATGAGATCACATATCACAGATATTATAGTCGCTTTCACCTTTTAATAATTCGGTCCTATCAACCAGAGACCAACAAGAGACTAAACAAGAAATGACATTAACTCCAACGGCCAAGAATTGGTTGGTTTGGAGTTGGTGCAGAGGTGTAATCGAGGTATTACAGAGGCTGCAGGCATATGTGAATGACTGACTCTGATCGATGTCTCATCAAATTACATTACTACTGAACCATAGCTCAAACGCACAATCTTTACATCTTAGGTCAAAGGTTTAAGCACTGTACTACAACACCCTCTCAAAGGTCTCATTACTGTGTATTCCTCTGGTAGTCTTTCATCAGGTTCAGGACTTTATAAAAAAAAAATTGGGATTAATGATAAATGGTTTCAAAATTCCAAGATCCAGTGGATACAATCTTTGGACACAAGACGAAAAAATAAGAGACCGTTTTTCTTTTAACCCTATTTAGCCCGGGCTATTTTGAAACTGCATAGCCCAGGGGGGGGGGGGGGGCTTCTAAGGCCCCCCCCCCCCATGATCTCGGCCGTGAAACGCCCGATCGCCACGAAAATTTGCATACATGTCAAGTGAAGTGTATAGAATACTATGGTAATTTCAATTTTTTGAAAAATTCACTCATTTGCATATTTATGGTAATTTATGCAAATAAGGTCATAAAATTCACATTTTTGCCCATAAATCAGACATTATTCATATTTAAGCATTCTTTCTCACTACATATATTTGTTAGACCATATGAAATAATAATACAACACAAAAAAATTGAAAAACCAGGGTTATTCCTTATGTTATCTATTGTTTTGATAATTTCTTATGTATTTCATTGTTTTTTTAACTTATGTATTTTAATGTTTTTGTTGTTTTATTTCATTTCCAACTATAATTCAACTATTTTGACCCAAAAATAAACACCTAAACTATAAACAAGACCAAATAACCAATGTTTTATCTCGTTATTTGAAAAATGAGATTTCCATATGTTTTGTACACAAATCACAAAAATGAGCGATTTTCGGGCTGACATGCAAAGACAAAAGGACACGTGACTTTGTAATGGTAGGTCCGATTTTCGAAAAATTTCTTTCAAAAGATGCGCAAGACTCGAAAGAAAAAAGTCACAAAATTTCAGTGCAAGATTTTCTTGCGTTAAAAAATTATCGCGAAAAATGTCGAGGGGGGGGCTTCTAAAGCCCCCCCCCCCGGGCTAAATAGGGTTAAGGGCCAATGAAATTTGCTGATTAATCCCAGATTTTAGCAACATTTTTTTTCTTCATATTCCATGATTTGCAGAATAGTTGGTAACCCGTTGATAGAACGGTTTCCCTATAATCTTGATGATTATCTTCGTAGAACAGCTAGTATGGAAGGAGTAGGTGTCTTACCCATCTCACAAAGCACACCAGCATTCACAGGTGGCCGAGGATGTGGCATCGTCTAGGAAACAAATATCGCCATTCTGGCAAGGGCAGATGTCTGTATAAAGAAAATAAGGCAACATCAGTATAAAACATTCAAATAAAAGATAAAAACTATAAATCTTTTGCTTATGAAAAATAGGTGTCTGAGAGCAAAGTCAAGTAAAAAAAATTCCAAAGCTGATATAATTTATTCAATGGCATGCAAACTTATTGAATGATAATTTTTGCTCATGCCCCACCAGGTGGTCAAGGCTTTCCATGAAAGAGCAACTAAATTTACCAAGTTGTTTTCAGTGACAAGTAACATTATAACTGTTATAAGATCCTGAAATCAACACATTTGATTGGCTGAGAGCAAATTTGTCATAGAATTTTAGCATTAATTATTGATAAGAGGTTTTATAAAACAAGGCCCAAGTCTGATGGATGGATGCCAAAGATAGAAAGAGGACACATTCAAAATAACAGAATGTTCCTACCGCTAAGGTCGAGCATCTCAGCTTCTCTTCGTCTCCTGCCGTTCTTGATACACAGGTATTGGGCTGGGATGTAGAAGCACTGTTCACTGGGAGCGCATGGGTTGCTGGAACATGGGTTGGCACCAACTGAAAATACACACAAACACATGACAATGAATAGAACAATAATAATGATAATAATACAGTGAAACCTGTATATAAAGAGCGCTCAAGGGAGACATTAAATGTCTTTAAAGACTGGTGATCTTTATGTACAGGTTTCAATTAATGAGAAACAATATTCAAGGGAAACAAAATATGTGGCCTTTCTATACAGGTGGTAGCTAAACAGGTTTGACTGTAATAATGATGATAATAATGTCTGTCTCTCACATAGCGCTTGACCATTAACTGACCAAAGCGCAATACAGTATTATTATTACATTGATGCTGTTGCATCTGGTGCAGTGCAAAAAATCTGTCCTTTATTGTTTACAGAGGATTGTAAGTCTTGCAGATCTTGCTACCTTACGAGATGGATGGTGCCAACAATCCTTATATGAAATCCAATATGTGCTTTCTATTCAGAAATGATAGTTCTTACAAAACCAAACTCATAACAATCAAATCAAGTAGAGATATGCTAATGCAACAATGGCCGATTCTATAGACAAGTAATTGTATTTCGGTAGCAAGATTCCACTTGAATAGGGCACACATGGAACCCAAGTCGGACTTCAGTTCCTGGCTCACTCTGTTCTATTGGTTTGTTTGTTACCCTTTATTGTCTTCATAGTCATACACCTTTATTTTGTAAAATACCTAGAACTGACAAGTGTCAATGTTGCCAGAGCTGTCTGTAGCAGTGAAGGTCACCGTGGTCACGCCAAACGGAAACAGGGTTTCGGAACTGAAGTCACTTGTGATCGACATGACGTCATCGGAGTTATCAGTAGCAGTCAGTGCTGACCACGTAGCCACAGCGCCTTGGGCGTTTTGAGAGGTGAACACGGTTTGGTCCGGGGGGAAGTTCGACAAGACTGGGGCTGTGTTGTATAAGACAAATCAACAAGTTTATTGGAATAATATTAAGAGCTTATTTTCAACACTTTAGTTACGATCTTAGCTCATTTGTCACACATGCTTTTTTGCACAAAACGATAGGTACAAAATGAAAATCAAAGACGATTTTGATTTCGGTTAGGTTCTAGTGTTAGATTTTTTTTGTCCAGAGTTGAAGTTTAGAATTATGATAAGGTAGTTTAGCGAATTGTAGGGGTAGAAAAGACGCAACTGGAACGCAAAAATGCATAATTGTTAAAAATCAACAGTTAATCACACAAAGGTAGAACCATATCGTTGGGGTATGGAGCTGGTAAATACATGTACTATCTTGATTGGGCTTAATGTTACCTATCACGCCTTCTGCCCTACGGATGCGTCTTTTTGTCCCCCCCCCCCATCCCCCATTTTGCTAAGCCACCTAATGTAGGACATTGGACATGGTGGAATTGTTTTAGGCGCATGTGGTGTGGAGTCAGTTTGAAGTATCAATTTACTGTAAATTGATAAGTGCTTTGTCCACACACCATTTCTGCATTACATGACACTCCTTTCAGCTACTAGCCTCTCTTATCATCCCAGTCCCAGTATAGCTTCCTGAGTGAGCTGCTAAAGGGATTACTCCATCAAGAATCAAGTACAGGAGCTAGTCTCTATACAGGACGTACCATCGGTAGACAAGACAATGATGTCGAAGCTGCAAGTGACAAAGTTCCCAGTGGGGTTGGTAGCTGTGTAAGTGACCTCAGTAGATCCAATAACGAAGGAACTGCCTAGTGGTAAGTTGACCGTCAGGGTAGCGGAGTCAGAGTTGTCTGATGCCACAGGAGCCAGCCATGAAACCATCATGGTCGAAGTACCAGGGCTGGTATTGGCAACGATGTCGGTTGGACAGCCGGTCAGGATGGGGTTCTCTCTGTCGATGACCACTGTGACAAAGAAATTGTATGAAAATGATGTCAGAGATAGAGAATATGTACATGCAGCCTCCGTTTTCAAGAAATATGAGGGCTTCCTCTATCCAGAGATACATTTATCTCCTCAGATTTGGTACAAATTTGAATCATTTCACTACCGGTACCTACATTTTTGCAATTCTAATCTGCTCATGAAACACAGACAAATGCCAAACATAGCAACATGTTTATATGCAAGAAAAATTTAAACCAAACAGTTGCTGTAATAGGGTAAAGTGTTAACGTCATGTTTACTTGTCGTCCAGGTTACTGGTTCTAAACAGAGCCTGTCTATGAGGTTCACTTCACAATCATTCAGACAACAAGCTAGAGCAGGGCAAAGTCATTGTTTGGCACCGTGTGTTTGGCACCACATCTTGGTTTAGCACAAATTGTTTGGAACCAGCAACCTTGACAACTTGGCCAGTATGACGTCACACCTTGGTACTCGATACATAAATGGGTCAGTTAAAGCAAGTTTTTTTTCAAAGCAAGATTTCACAATAATGTCCTACACTCCCAAAACAAATCTTTACAATTATTAAAGGACAATCACTAACCTCTACTTGAAGTGACAGTGACCTCAAAGCTGCATGTCGAGTAGAAACCAGCGTTATGACCAGATAAGTGCCAACATCAAAGGAATCACCAGGCGAGTAGTTACTGACTGCTGTGATGGGTTCTGAGGCATCCATAGCTGTAGGGACGTCCCAGGAGGCCGTGGCACTGCTTGCACCCGACGCAGCCTAGACAAAGACGTTTCTGGGACAGAATGTGATCTCTGGGGCGGTAGTGTCGCTGCTGTTTGTGGTGGAGGTCGAATTCAGATTAAATTTTATTTATTAATGCAATGAAGATTAGGTCTGAGAAAGCTTCAATCAGAGAAAGTGAAAATGCTCCAAAGATGATAAGTCTGTGGTCAAATTTTCTACATGAACCAAATCCCGAATTCAGCTCTGGACCAAATACTATATCTAATGTTCGCTTAGTTAAAAGAACTAACCTTGAACCCAATTCCAACCCTAATCTTAATCTTCAACAAAATAAAGTCTGGAGTAGTTTAGATCAACAGCTAAGGATCACCTCAAAAATGTCAAATTTGAAAGAGCTTTATTTTAATTGCTTCATGGTAACTATAATAAATTGGAATCACTTCTGTTTCAACCAACGGTAGACCTTTGCTGTATACATGGTCAATCAAAGTATCACCTTCAGTAGTTGATTGCTTTACATGTTGTGTATAGCCATGATTACACATCAAGTCTTGTATTCTAGATGACTGTTTTAATAAGTTATCATTGAAGTCGCCCATTACAATACATTTTGTACCCACTTTATGTAGCTCTTCTAATAAGTTATTCAAACTCTCACAGAAGTCTTTTATTCTGTATGTCGGAGGGCGATAAACAACTGCAATGACAACAGAAACAGGACAGGTTATAAGAAAAGCAATAAACTCTAGATTATCAATCTTTATATCAAGTCTGCTTGAAAATTCATTCTTGCTATAAACTGCAACACCTCCATGCGACTGGTCCTTGAACTGTTGCCTTGAATCACTTGTGATAGAATAAGAGTTATATCTTGATTGATGATACAATTTGAAATCAGCTAAGAATAATTCAAAAACATCATCCTTATCCGATAGCCATGTTTCAGTCAAACAAATAATATCAGAATTCAGGAATGTTGGATTGCATTTTAAGTCTACATAATGTTGTTTTAATCCTTGAATATTGTGCAACATTATGCATAAACCATCATCATATGTTTCCTCTGCTATAGTATTTTCCAAGAAATTGCTCATATCATTAAGGTGTTTTTTAATCTTTGGATCACAGTATATAACTTTTGGATGAAAATCTTCAATGGTAAGTCCAGATAAAGAAGTTACACGACTCAGGCCTACATAACTATGTCCAGATGCAAATATTTTTTTCAGTGATACTACTACTTTATTTAAAGTCATGCCTTGTACTTTGTGAACCGTGCAAGCATAATTGCTTTCTTGTGTAATTTTTACCCATTGATTCTTCAAACATTTTGATTGATTGAATGCCAATTTTCTGGCTATCAAATTTTACACTGATGCAGTATGGCTTGGATTCGTTATTTCGTTTTACTATTTCTGCAACTGTACCTATACATCCATTCGTCAAACCTATATTGGTATCAATATTTTTTAAAAGCATCACTCTGGCATTCAAAGCAATTGACAGATTGCGAGGCAAAGAACTTTGACTAGATTTACATGGTTCGGTACATATTTCGTCATTATCCTTGCTGTTATTTCTGTCTTCAGCTTTAACACATATAATATCTTCACATTTACTGTGCAACATTATGTTATTCCATTCATTTACTTGTTTATTAGTTGAATAGATGTGCATATCTTCTTCACATTCTTCACCAGTTTCACGAGAGGTAAGGATTGATAAATCTGCATCTGATAAAGTGTCTTTCTTTTCCTTAACTCTTAATCTATTCAAGAGTAGAGCAAATGCCAAATCTTCCTTTTGTCTCATTATTTCAACCAGTTCTACCTTTCTGAAATTTTCAGACCACAGCGATTGTTCTACTGATTCCTTATACAAGGGTTTTCCTTTCACAGGTGGTAATTGATAAAAATCTCCAACTGCCAATACCGAAACGTTACCAAATGGACAATCAGTGCGTGATTGCTTAATTTGTCTTAACCGACCATGTATGTAGTATAGTAATTTGGAATCTACCATGGAAATTTCATCTATGATCAAAATTTGCAACTGTCCGAGCTTATTACGAAGGGTGTTAATTTTTTCTTCACCAAGTGGTTGATAAGGAAATTTGGCTGTGATTGAAACTGAGAGCGCACTGTGAATTGTAGATCCTTCTATATTGAATGCAGCTATGCCAGTTGGTGCGACTTTCAAGATTGAAATGTCATCAGGATTAACCATCATTTTACCAAGTATGCGTACAGCTTCGTGGTATATACATTTTATTAAATACGATTTTCCTGTTCCTGCACCACCACTAATAAGTACATGAAAAGGTTGACTTTCTGTACCATTCACTTTCTCTAAGCACCATTGTCTAATTTTGTAAAAGATTTCTTTTTGCTCATTGTTTAAACATCGAATCAAACTATTTGATTCATGTTTTGAAATTCCATGCTTTCGAAATTCCACACTAGAAGTTTCGTTCTTTTTTTCATGTTTGAAATCTGGAATGTCCAATTCGCATTCTGGTTCATCCATTTCAACTTTGTTCTTAGGATTTTCTAGTCTTTCTTTTTCACTTTCAGGACATAAAAGAGCCCACGCATCTTCTGGAGGACCAAATTTGTCCATGAAATGTTCAGCTTGTTCAATGGCTCTTGAATTTCTTTCGTACTCTTTACAATGTTTGTCTACTATTGATTTTACACTTTCCAAATTGCCTCCCTGTAGTTTGCAACTTCCTGTTTCATAAAATTCCTGATATGTCTGAAACTGTGGTGGTTTTAACTGCTCATCATTACTAAATGGCAGGAAAAGTTGCAATATACTGAGGTAATATTTTTCTGGAGAAACTGTTTTAGAAAATCGTGGATATCTTACGACAGCAGCACTAGACCTTGTTCGTTTCTGAATGTATCCCGATTTATTTTTAATTCAAATAAATATGGTGATGTTTTAGTGCCTTTCACTTGTGATGCAGTTAGTATTCTGTAACATGCGCAGAATTTTGCAAGACACATAGTGTCAAATTCACTTCCATTAGGTCTAGATTTATATCGATCAAGTTTATTTGCCATCCATGGACTCCTATCATCATCATCATCGTCAGGTCTACTTTGAATAACATGTAAAGGTAAACTCATTCTAACAGGATTTGGACCAACCGGAATAAATTCTACTTTTCGTGAACACTCTTTTAATCGAAGAGAACATACACGATACACACTTTCCTGTGCAGATACTTCTCGATTTTGCATGTAGACATTTCCGAGCTGTCTGATACTTTTTCTTGCATCATGATTTCCCTCATTTATTTCAGATTGAGCATGGCTTAAGAGCATTCCCATTTCTCTCTCAGATTTTGAAATGTATGATACAATATATCTAACACATGCATAGACATCCATAACAAATTGTAAGTCCATATTTGCATTCCATGCTCTTAGTAGAAAAGGATTGTACTGATTTATCCATACATCTTTGGGGTCTCTTTTCTTGATCAAAATTTCTTGTTTAGCTAACAACCTAGTTGCATTTTCAAATTCAGTCTGTGTTGTGTTACAATCTCTAAAAAGGTCAGAGACATTAGTGTAAATATTTTCCTGATTTACAGCGTTTTTGATAGATTCTAATAATTGTTTTGCACTATCAATTTCTTCGGGATTACCCTCTTTGGGATAAAGTACACATGTTCTATCAGATGGTGGTCTTGGAAAATTGAACCGACATGATTTTCCCTTTTTTTTACAAGATTTTGAATGCTTTTTGCTATGCTGTTGCACATGAGTGATTATTTCATGGAGTTCTGGATCTTCTTGTTCGGATGGTATCTTGCAAGAAATGTATTTATCAATAAAGGAAACTACTTCCTCATCTGAACTATATCCATGCTCTGGTGCATCCTTTACCCAGAATAAACAATGTGTGTGTGGAGATCCTCGCTGTTGGAATTCAACACGATAAAAATAATCTATTACATGACCAATGGGATGTGCTTCAGACAAAATAACATTTTTCAAAAAAGTGTGAAATCTTTTGTCAAACATTCTTGCAACAGTCACTGGATTCGACTTTAAAAGTTCACATTTATCTGTCCAATCTAGGTCATTGATCTTTCGTTTATCACCTCTTTCCATTAATAAAGTATTTAATACTTCAGGCCATCTCATGTCTGCTGCCGAGAAACTTCCAAACCATGTAGGTATACCAAGCTGTCTCACCATGGCTAATAAATCTTTTTGTGTGGCAGACCAATATGGAGGAGAACCTCTTATCTGTTTCAGAAAGCGAAACCCTCTATCTGATTTTAATATGTCCTGAACTTTGTCAATTTGTTTTAAATCTTTGATAGTGATTGGTGCATCAGTATCACTTTTACTTGATGTTTTTCTCAATGCAATTGAAACACCGGACAAAACTTGTTGAATTTCATAAATGCACTGAGCATAAAAAATAAAATCTGTATTTTTAGCAAAGCGATTATCTACGTGCATTAGCCTATTTTGTAAATATCTTCCAAGGGTCACTCGTACACTTCTGACATCATGATAAGTGGGTTGACCTTTTGGAAATAATACAGGAAACGATTTTGGTTCATTGCTTTCATCTCTAAGAAGTGCTATGGGATTGTTGCCTTCACATGGAGCACAACAGAAAATATCATCAAAATGTTGATCAAGGATTTCTTGTCCAATATCAACTGGTTGCAAGCAGGTATCAAGTTGAATTCCATTTAACCTTGCTTCTTGGTCATCATTTTCCTGTTCTTCAAAGTTTTGAATTGAATCATCATTGTCGTTTGTTTCAGCACTACACATTTCTCCTGACAACGAATTATTCCAGTTTTCATTAATACTTATATCAGAATACCACTTATTGTTTTTCTTTAAATAGTGCAACCCATTTAGCACCTTAATTTTATTAACAAATTTATACTCATGATGGCCCTTATAAGATATTTTCCTTTTTAATTTCACACGGATTAATTGATCTTCTCTTTCTGGTGGAGGTAGCATATTTACAGTTTTCATTGTATTCGAAGGCACACAAACAACTGGTCCATGAACTGCATTTTGACCTCCCTTAGGTAAACGGATTAATTTGAAAAAACTTATGTTACGTGCAATTAAATGTTGCTCTAAATTATTCAAGTCCTTCAATTCATCTGGAATCTCATGCAATTGCAAACTGTTAACACTAGCCTCAGCTGGTAATTTATTCGTCAACAATTTTCTGTGGCATGTAAAGCATATCCATAAATGTCCACGAGATGAGTGCGCCAATTGACAGTTTTCATTACAGAGTGAATTGCAAATGTGTAAATAGGACTCATTTATACACGTTTTGTTTTGGTAATTTTGTTTAATGCACTTTAAGACTTGACTTTGAAAAAGCAATTTTAGACATACACAACAGACATATTCAGGTCCATGAGAAATAACATTTCTGAAATTTCTGAGTACATTTTCTAATTTTTTAAAACTCATTTTCTTAAGTCCAGCACGTTCTTTATTTTTTTCTGCGAGTCTCTGCCTATAATGCTGGTTAGACTGATACTTTATTTTTTTATTTTTTTTTTGTTCATCTCTGAACAATGTATTAGTCTCATATTTCAATTTTATTTTCTTCTTGTGTTCTTCTCTAAACAATGTATTAGTCTCATATTTTAATTTAATTTTTTTCTTGTGTTCATCTCTAAACAATGTATTAGACTCATATTTTAATTTTATTTTCTTCTTGCGTTCATCTCTAAAGGATTCATTAGACTCATATTTCAAATTTAGTTTCTTCTTGTGTTCATCTCTAAATAATGTATTAGACTCATACTTATGCTTTATTTTCTGCTTGTGTTCATCTCTAAAGGATTTGTCAGACTGATACTTTTGTTTAATCTTCTTTTTCTTTTCATCTCTGAAACATTCGTTAGAGTGATACTTTTGTTTCATTTTTGCCTTCTTTACATCACTGAAATCTCCTTTGAATTTGCAACCATCCATGTACTTCTCATTATTTTGAACATTATCGTATGCATCATGATCATTAATTTGTTTCCTTTTTGCTTTCATCCTTTCTTTAGCTAATTGTTGTCGTTTTCTTAAAGACTGCTTACATTTGCTTTTCTTGTTTTCTTTTTTAATTTGTTTTTTAGGGAATTCAATTGTAGAACCTTTTACTGGAATATTTGTACCTTGTAAGTTAGCACTGGATTGTGTTTTCTTTATATCTTTTAAAAGATCAAATGAAAGATTCTTTAATTCAGATTCAGATGATCGTATAAGTCTAATTGTCACTTTTTTCAATACAATTTGTTCATCATTTAAAACATCAATTACACCTCTATTCATAGTATGAACAATTCCTGATGGATAACTAGTAATTCTAGAAGCTGATTTTTTTCCCCTCTCATTTCTTTCCAGTTTGAGTTGTTTTGTTTTGCAATATCTATGCATTTTTGGAGAAGACATCTTTTTTGATTTAGCACACTTCACACTTTCATGAATTGTGTCACCTTTTCTCTTTCTTTTTGAAATAAAAATGTCTTCACTTTTTCCGCTTACACTTGGCACAAACGTTTCTTCAATTTCATCTTTCGTTGCGCAAGATCCGTATTCAAATGAAATATTTTTTAATTCAGATTCAGATAATCGTATCAGTCTAATTGACACTTTTTTCAACGCAATTTTTTCATTCAGTATCTTTAAAGGGTCATTTACAATGAACATGTTTCCTTTATTTAAAACATCAGTTCCACCCCTATTCATAGTATGAACAATTCCTGATGGATAACTAGTAATTCTAAAAGCTGATTTTTTTTCCCTCTCGGGTTGTTTTGTTTTGCAATATCTATGCATTTTTGGAGAAGACATCTTTTTTGATTTAGCATACTTCACACTTTCATGAATTGTGTCACCTTTTCTCTTTCTTTTGGTAATAAAAATGTCTTCACTTTTTCCGCTTACACTTGGCACAAACGTTTCTTCAATTTCATCTTTCGTTGCGCAAGATCCGTATTCAAATGAAATATTTTTTAATTCAGATTCAGATAATCGTATCAGTCTAATTGACACTTTTTTCAATGCAATTTTTTCATTCAGTATCTTTAAAGGGTCATTTCCAATGAACACGTTTCCTTCATTTATAACATCAGTAACACCATTTTTCAAGACTGATGAATTAGAATATTTAATATCTTCAATAATTATTGTATCACTTTCACTTTCGTTGTCTTCAAGCATATCACTATGAAAAGATCTTTTTTCAGTACATGTAACTTCCTTAGTTTCACTCATTCTTTTCTTTTCATGAATTGAACATGGTTCAATTTCCTTTGTTTTTTTTCCTTCGTCAATACCCGAATCAATATATTCGACAGATTCAACATAATCAAAATGTACACCTTTAACATGTAATAGATAAATGCCCCTAATATTTGATTCATGTACAATTCGTCCAGGGTTATCACATGAATACAGTCTCCACTTCAGAAATGTATCACTGTAAATTAATATATCTGTTTCAAGCAGATGTGCCATCACAGCAATCTCTACCTCTGTGGCCCATTCACCATTGATATGTGGTTTATTTCTACTGACATAGTCCTTAACTGATGAAAATTCATACCTTAAACAACCAGCAAATATATGTGAGTTTTGCAGCAAATGTTGGATACATGTCTGCCTCAGAATGTTGTGATTAACTTCCTTCCCCGTCAGACAAAGAGAGATTGACCTGTAAAAACAATTTCCATCGCCAGTAATATTAGTTATAATAGCAGGAGTCCCAATATTAATGCACATGTCGGTATCTGATTTAGAACTGATACAAGTATCTGTAATATTAAATTTAGCACACATTTTTTTCTTTTCACTTGAATGGACTGGGAAATATTTGTAGTTATTTGTAATGTATTCTGTATCAATTACTATGCAGTCATCATCATCAACATCATCTATATTGATAGAATCAGGCCTATCTGAGGGAGCACCACTAGGCAAATCTTTGCAATAATTTGTATCATGCTCTGTATCAATTACTATGCAGTCATCATCATCAACATCATCTATATTGATAGAATCAGGCCTATCTGAGGGAGCACCACTAGGGAAATCTTTGCAATAATTTGTATCATGCTCTGCATCAATTATTATGCAGTCATCCTCATCATCATCTATATTGATAGAATAAGGCCTATCTGAGGGAGCACCACTAGGGAAATCTTTGCAATAATTTGTATCATGCTCTGTATCAATTACTATGCAGTCATCATCATCATCAACATCATCTATATTGATAGAATCAGGCCTATCTGAGGGAGCACCACTAGGGAAATCTTTGCAATAATTTGTATCATGCTCTGTATCAATTACTATGCAGTCATCATCATCAACATCATCTATATTGATAGAATCAGGCCTATCTGAGGGAGCACCACTAGGGAAATCTTTGCAATAATTTGTATCATGCTCTGCATCAATTATTATGCAGTCATCCTCATCATCATCTAATTCAATACAATCAGACATATCTGTTGACACACATTTATTACTTTTGTCAGTTCTATCTGTTGGCAAGAAAAATCCATCATTACTTTCAACTACATTCATATAGTCCTGTTCATCTTGTCCCACATGACCATTATCATCATGTTCTGTCACAGTAATCTCGCTTGAATTGATAAGATTCACAATTATACCTGTAAGTTCAAATTCAGTCTGGTTTTTATTGATACCCATAGATTCAGCTAATTTCAAAATATGATCGTACACACCTTTCCAGTTTGATGTACATAAGACGACACTGGTCCCATCATCTGTCATAAGTCCATGCCTGTCTCTAGAATGTGAATCAAAAATAAAATACTGTTTTCGTGTGGATAAGATTGCAAATGTTTGGCCACCAAATGTACAAAAGCATGCATCGTGTCTATCTAATTCCTGATGGAGAGCATCTTTCAATGTTACTGCATTAAAATTAATCAAAAAAAATTCATCTCCACAAATTGTACCCATAACACTCTGAGAATATTGCATTTTATAATGGACATCAAAAGCTTCTAATTGATCAGGTAACTCAGATATCAATAAGAAATTATCATTTATTGCAGAACTAAGCTGAATAAATTTATACAACTCATTACCATAATTCAATACCTTGTCAAGATCTTGTTTTTGCCATTGGGAAACATCTGTAATTTTACTGTATAAAATAGCAGCAAAACTGTTAGAAACACATTGCTTTCCAGAATAAAATCCAAATCTAGCATTTCCTTGATGAAAATTGCCCAGGGCAACACATTTCACAAGTGTATTTTGTTCCATATTTGATATGTTTTCATTTGGGATTTGCTTCTCTTCTAAATTTACATTAGAGGTGTTGACTGACTGTTTATGGAATTTACTATCATGTTCCATTCCAAAAAAATTCTTAGGAGTAGACTTCTGTGACTTGACAGATTGATCATTTGCACATTCATCATCATGCTTACTGCTTGTTTTGTAAGTGACTTGGTTACCAACCTCAAAAGTATTAATGTCCTGACCATTTTCTGCTGCTTTGGACTGTATTTCTCTGTCTTTATCACTGCCACACAATTTCTCCTCGATTACAGTAGTACGATTGCCTTTATCTACCTTTACTTCACCCATGCTTTCAGTCTTTTTGTCACATCCTTTTCCTTTATTGTTCGATACTTCCATGTTCAATACTTCAGAATCAACTGACTTTCCACAAGATGTTTTGTTGCCCTTTAGAACACTGACTTTCTTGTTTCCTTCTTCAGTTTTTTGTGAGTGTTTTGCACCACCACATACTCGGAATGTGCTCTGTTCTTTGCCCTTGGATTGTTTAAAAAAAACAGGACTATATGTCACACTGCCAACAAAAGATTTTGTCTGTGTTGTTTCATTTTGTACATGGCCTACTACATCAGCCCAAGATTGTTTCTCCTTCATGCTGTTTTGTTTGTAGAGGTGCGTTTCATGATACATCGACTGTGGTGATTGCACACACTTTGCATATTCATCTAGCAATGTTTCTGTGTACAGTTGAACACTATTATCCTTTACTTTCTGACATTCTACACCTCTGTTTAGTTTGATGTCTACTTTGCATTTTGATTTTCTACTTTTCCGTCTTTCATAGAAAGATTTCATTGCTTTGCCAATGTATGTTACACCAGGTTCTAGAACAACACCATTTATGGTTCTCTTTTCCTGACCTGTTTCATCGTCACTTTTTGCTGTTAAATGCAATATTCTTTCTTGCAACTTTTCCAACATCCTTGCCTTCTTTGTTTTCACCTTCATCCATTCATTACTATCTACTTCTTCACTATGCACTTTGTCACGTTGTTTGGGGGAATCTCTTTGAGTGACTACAGGATCATGTTCATGTGTGTTAAACTCACTTGATTTCATTTCTTTTACACTTTGATTTCCTGGCTCTATATTGATTTTCTTGCATTTCTTAAAATACCTTTTCTTTGATCTGGATTTCTTTTGTGTACCATCTTGCTTGGGTAAGAGGGGCACATCATCATCAAATTCTTCATCTACTGTCTCAAGAGGCTGGTATCTATTCAAATGAGAGGGGATACATACTTTATCAAACAGTCGATGCACAATGTTGTTATTACCACAAGATGAACAAATCCAGATTAATCTCCTCTCATTCACTAGATCTTGACACAAAAAACCCATACACGTCACATGATAATATTCATTGCAGCTCTCACAAGTAGCTTTGTTTTCACTTTCTTCAATTGTATTCCTACAGACGCAACATTCTTCATTCTGCGGATCAAGAACTGATGCACAACTACATAGCATATCTACAATCTCTTTCATCACTTCCTTGAATTGATCACCTTCAAATTCCATGATTAAGAAAAATCAACCTCACTTGTATGTCTCAATCTCTAAATATCCTGACCAACACTTCTTTCTCTGCAATAGATCGACCTCACTTGTATGTCTCAAGCTCTAAATATCCTGACCAAAACTTCTTTCTCTGCAATCAACCTCACTTGTACGTCTCAATCTCAGAATATCCTGACCAAAACTTCTTTCTCTGCAATCAACCTCACTTGTATGTCTCAATCTCAGAATATCCTGACCAAAACTTCTTTCTCTGCAATCAACCTCACTTGTATGTCTCAATCTCAGAATATCCTGACCACAGCTCTTGTCTTACTCTCTGCAATCAATTAGGCTCACTTATATTTTTACAACTCTTATTGTCTTTGCAATTAAATCAATCACACATATATTTCTGTCTTTTCTCCAAACTCTGTTCTCTCTGCAATCACTTCAGCTTATGCACTTTACAATCAATCAATCTTACGTTTATTTCTTTATATTCAGCTCCAAACTCTCTTCAATCAATTCTGCTTTAGTCACTTTACACTCAATCAAGCTCACTTTTTTCAGTAATAGGAATAGGTAAGAAAAGTTCAGACAGCTTAGAATAAAATAGATTCAGAAATCTTGTAGGAATCACTTCTGTGATAAAGAATATATTTAGAAAGCTTGTAAAATAGGAGAAGATTTGTGAAGTTCAGTAAGATAGAGTAGATTCAGAAATAAAGTATCACAAGAAAGTAGGGCTACTTCTGATGCAAAAGATCAAGACCTCTGTCTTGTAGGAATTACTTCTGTAATTAGAAAAGTTCAGACAGCTTAGAATAGATTCAGAAAAAAAGTTATAAGAATCACTTCTGTGATAAGAATAGCTCTTGATTCAAGGTTTCTCAGGTTTCAATAGAATAATTGTGGTTCAATGTGATTCTTGCTATCTATCACAACTCTTCTTTAACTCACCAACTAGCTTCTTAAGTGCTAGAGGCTTATTGTCATGAGTTGCCAATAAACAGACTTTCTCTTGCTATCTATCACAACTCTTCTTGACTCACCGACTAGCTTATGTATGAGTGCTAGAGGCTTATTGTCGTGAGTTGCCAATAAACAGACTTTCTCTTGCTGTCTACCACAACTCTTCTTGACTCACCGACTAGCTTATAAGTGCTAGAGGCTTATTGTCGTGAGTTGCCAATAAACAGACTTTAGGATGGGATTCTGGATGAAATTTCAAATGAACTTCTGAATGAGTACTGCTTTTCTCAAAAACTCAAGATAACGAGTTCCGAGGGTGAAGATGGAATGGTATGGTATGTAATGTTTTGAATATGATAGAATGGGAATGGGATTCTGGATGAAACTTCAAATGAACTTCTGAATGAGTACTGCTTTTCTCAAAAACTCAAGATCACGAGTTCTGAGGGTGAAGATGGAATGGTATGGTATGTAATGTTTTGAAAAATGAAGATGATTTGATAAATAACAACACAAACACAAATTGCCTTCCAAAGCAACCAGTACCTGCCAAAAGAACAGAGACAGAAAATTGAATACATAATCAACATTACATACAGTAACTCAAATCTCTTGGGATCCATAAAACAGCTTTCTGAGAGACTGACGGTCATAAAACAATAGGACAAAACAGGTTTCCAATGAATGACTATATCATCCAAATTTTGGCCTTAAACAATCCTATGGTTTAAAACTTGTTCACCCTATATGCCAACATATTTATTTGATCTCAATGTAGGCTTATTTCACAATGTAATCTCATTCTTTTTTTTAATTGCTGCATGTGCAATCATAATCATAGTATTTGCTTTGACAATTGTTCATTTTGTGCCTTCCTATAGAATCAGCTCAACTGACCTTAAAGTCAAAACATAGGTAAGATTAAATCAGTGCCACTACATGGCATAACATAATTAATCCTTTTTGAACAGTTACTACCATGACCATAGGCTGAACACTTTCAACTTAAGTCCCCTAATACTTACTTAATACTTAAACACCACTACCTCCTTCCAGTAACTCCAACACAGAACAATCCAACACTCGTCCTACATTGAAAAGAAGAAAAAAAACAAAAAAGTAAGAAAGAAATAACTATCACTAAAAGTGATTAATACCCACACAATCACATTGTGGTTTATAATGTTAACTAATTACCCACTATTCACATAACTGTCTTGATCATGTACAACTCAAACTCATCAAATCTATCATGTTTCATTTCCAATGATTTGCATACTCAGAAATCTAATCAGATCGTATACCAATGATACCTTTTTCAATCTTAATCTTATTATTCAATTCAATACAAATTTTCCTATATACTTCTTTTCTATAATCATTGGGATCTTTAATATACAACTTATATAGTAGTCTACATTTTTTCTTACTCAACTTTATAATTTCATTTGTAATCCAAGGTTTATTTTTACGCTTATAAATATTTCAAACAAACTAATTTCACAGGGAAACACAAATTATACAGTTTTGTGAATTTAAAAACAAAGACATCATAACTACTATTCACATCACTAGATAAATACCATTTATTTGAATACTTCAAGTGCAAAAACGTTCTCATATTATTTTTGTTTAAATCACGTCTATAAAAGTCAGTTTCACAGTACTTTTGTGAATATCAATTTCACAAATACAATATACCGAGAAGTGGTCAGAAATGTCAGTTAATAATATTCCAAAGTAAATATGACAAGAATCATTGGTAAAATTATTATCTAATAACAATGGAGATCTGTCAGTAACACGAGTTGGTTCATTTATTAAAAGAATCATAGAATGTAGCATTAAAATGTTTACAAAATCATTAATAAACCCAACATTTAATAAATCAATATTAAAATCTCCCATTAAATAGAATAATTTCTTTTCCACATTTAAAACATTAAAAACATTTACGAGAGACATTAAAAAATTATCCTTTGGATGACTGGGTGCCCTATACATAACACATATTAAAATAGTTGGATTAAATGAACAATTTCAATAAAAATTAAAAAAGACCTCATCCACGTCCAAGTCTTTTATTATTTCTCACAAATTCATAATGATCGAAATTGCACAGAGAATAATGATCGAAATTGCACAGAGAATATTGTGAATTTTCATCCCTTAGCCACGTTTCCGAAACACCAATAATTGAAACTTGCATACGTAATGACATCATAAGTACAGACAATGCATCAAAATTATGTTGGAGACTTCTACAATCAATATTAATAAATGATAATTTGTTACTGACATCAAGTAATTTCTGTGATACAAACGTATTGAATCCATCTGGTGTATAATATGACTGAGTGAAGTTATTAGTACCTTGAGGATCTGATGGTGACAAAAATTCTTTCAAAGTTGATACAGATACATGTTTTTCATTGAGACATTGAACACATCGACATTTGAAGATAATGTTTCCTTACAAGATCAGAGGAATATAAATTCTACACTTAAAAACAAAACAAAGTAGTAAAAACGAAACTATGTATAAAATGTAAAAGGTCCCTCTCTTCTCTCTCTTTCCCCTATCTCTCTCCTCTTTCTTTCTATCTTCATCGCTCTTCCTCTCTCTCGCTCACTCTTACTTATCTCTCCCTCTCTCTTTCTTTTTCTCTCCCTCTCCCTCCGTGTCTTCCCTTCCCTCTCTTTATTTCTCCGCTCCCTTTTTCTGTTCCTCTCTCTCTCTCCCTCGTCATTTCTCTCCTTCTCAATTTCCTCGTCATCTCTCGCTTTGGTCTTGCTACATGTAGCCAGCCTGGCTTCACTTGTTGAATGATGTATTTCTTATTTTTCAATCTTAATCTTATTATTCAATTTATTACGAATTTCCTATCATACTTCATTTCTATAATCATTAGGATTTTTAATATACAATTTATATACAATGTAGTGTACATTTTCTCTTACTCAACTTTATGATTTTATTTGTAAGCCAAGGTTTATTTTTACGCTTATATTTCAAACAAACTAATTTCACACGGAAACACAAATTATACAGTTTTGTGAATTTAAAAACAAAGCTATCATAACTACTATTCACATCACTAGATAAATACCATTTAGTTAAAACCTCAAATGCAAAAACGTTCTCATATTATTTTTGTTTAAATCACGTCTATAAAAGTCAGTTTCACAGTACTTTAGTGAATATCAATATCACAAATACAATATACCGGGAAGTGGTCAGAAACATCAGTTAATAAAATTCCAGAATAAATATGGCAAGAATCATTTGTAAAAATATTATTTAATAACAATGAAGATCTGTAACATTAGGTGATTAATTTATTGAAAGATTCATAGAATGTAGCAATGAAGTGGTTAAAAAAATATTTAACATTCCCACATTTAATAAATCAATATTAAAATTGCCCATTAAATAAAAATAATTTCTTTTCCACGTTAACAACATTTAAAACATTTAACGCGAAACATTAAAAAATCATCCTTTGGATGACTGGGTGGCCGATACTGTACATAACGCATATTAAAATATTTGAATTAAAATGTTCAATTTCAATAAAAATACTTTCTAAAAATTGTTCATTAATTTCCAATTCAGAGCGGCGTTTAAAATTAATGTCCTTGCGAATAAAAATACCAACACCTCCTCCACGTCCACGTCTTTTATTATTTCCCACAAAGTCATAATGATCGAAGTTACACAGAGAATATTGCGAATTTTCATCCCTTAGCCATGTTTTCGAAACACCAACAATTGAAACTTGCATACGTAATGACATCATAGGTACAGACAATGCATCAACATTATGTTGGAGTCTTCTACAATTAATATCAATAAATGATAATTTGTTATTAAAATCATTACCGGTATCAGGTCATTTCTGTGATACAAACGTATTCAATTTATCTGATGTATAATGTGACTGAGTGAAGTTAGTAGTAATTTGGGGACCTGATAGTGACAACAATTCTGTCAAGGTTGATACACATGTTTTTCACTGAGATATTGAACAAATCAGGGAGGTGAGGCATACAAATCAAGCATGACATGACATTTGAAGAAGAAAAAAATGCAAAAAAAATGATCAAAGGAATATGAATTTTACACTTAAAACAAAGTAGTAAAAACGAAACAACTGCATGTATGTACAAAATGTATAGAACTTTAATAGATAAAATGTAAAAAGTCCCTATCTTTTCTTTCTCTCTCGATCCCTACCCCTCTCTCTCTCCCCCCTTTCTATCTTTCATCGCTCTTCTTTTCTCTCCCCAGGGAGGTGAGACATAGAGTAGAGAAAACTGGATTAGGGTCTTTTGAACCATCCCCGATTCCGCACTCCCCAAGCGACCAATCCACTAAATTGGATTAATGGTGCCTGGTCGCCCGGTTGTAAATAAGATCACATAACGCATGTGCAAGGTCGGTTGATCAACAGGAGCCGCTTGCATGTGCGATGCATTGTAGGATATGTTTACATCCCATGACATGGCAGCTTTTAAATACTCGCGTGACGATTATTTGGAAGATGATATGGATCTTCTTACAGACATATTGAAGAAGGTTTGATCCTAGAATCTAAAGAGGAAAGCCTATCTTCTGTATGCATATGTAGCCTTCCTTCAACGATTGATCTCATTTCATGTAATGGACCAACATGTCCAGTTGGATTCTACCACCGCGAGCATACTGTTAGTCTTCCGTGCAGGGCAATATAACGAACGAGAACAAACGGTGGAGTCATACATCAAAATAAAGAAGAAAATCTAATTTTCTGCCTAAAAAAATGATTTCCACCTGGGTCTACCACTACTATTACGTTGAAATATAAATATAAATGGAACGGGAAAAAAAAAAATCAACAATAATAAATCATGTCTAAACTCACCTTGTTGTTGTTCTTTGCACCCATCGAGAGCTGAATTCCTAGACTATCAGTTCACAACATCAGGGTGACCTTCGCGTAAGGTGTCATTTTGTTTTTCCTTGGACCCCTAATCCCGCATAATCCCACTCTGAGTGATAGGAAAAGCCCTAGGGACAGAGTGCCCACTCCTCTATATGTCTCACCTCCCTGCTCTCTTGCACTCTTCCTTCTCTCTCTCCCTCCGTACATGTATCTCCCCTTCCCTCTCTTTCTTTCCTTCTCCGCTCCCTTTTTCTGTCCCCCTCTCCCTCAACATTTCTCTTCTTCTCTATTTCCTCGTCATCCCTCACGTTGGTCTTGTTACATGTAGCCAGCCTGGCTTCACTCGTTGAATATTCTATTGTAACCAGAATTTTTCTCAAGTGTATATATTTTGGTTCAATTTTGTTTACAGTATTCAATTTTATTTAATTTAACCAATATGAGTTCCACTTCCTGAACTTTACGTGTTCATGTTTTTAAACCAAATAAATACAAAATACAAAAATATGTCTAGTGAATATATTACTGTACCAAAAGTATACAAAATGCAGGACCGAAGGAAATCATGATCCTTCAATTTCAATGCTTGTGTTCATATGTTGTCTAGTTCGTTCTTGTCATGAACCTGTTTCTTCACGCTCTTACCGTGTGATGTCTTCACAGAGACAATGACCCGTCAGTCCATCGACCATGCTGCCTGTATCTCACTGTTCTGTTTCTTGCTTGCGATGAAAGCATCATGGAAGAGAGTACGATTGGCATCAGTCAGATCCTCGCAGGTTATTCCGATCCTTTTCAAATTCGACGATCAGCCGCTGTCGATGTTGATATGATGTCAGCTGCACGATGATGGCCGCTGGTTTTGGCCGTGATCTTGGATGGGTAGGTGGTTTCCGATGCAGTGACATCGGTCGATATCTTCCGGTTTTAAAGTGATGCGCAATGTTGCAGATTGTTGTAGTGGTGTTTTCTTGAGGAGATTCAGGGACACTAAACACCCGGATGCAATTTCGGGGAGCATATTGGTCGTTCAGCTACTATGTATTGTAGCTTTTGTAGTTTTGTACGTTATAAATTGCACCCCCAAAAATATACATGTATAAGTTCAATGTTCAAACCCCATTTTACAGATAAATGTTATCCTAAATGTTTTATGTACATAAATGTCATGTACTCACTGTCATTTAGAGATACCGTAATGTCTCAAAACAATTTTCTGTCCCTAAAATGTTAAAGCCCCTCTAAATTGTTTGGAACCAAAAATATGCCCAAATTGATATAGCAAAATTTCACTTAGATCCTATGAGGTTGTGAGAAACAATGTCATTTAACCACACTTCTCCAAGGATTTAAAAAGAACATGTGTTTGAAGGTGAATACTATTGAAACAATACAAAATTGGGTTTTATGTTGTACGCTAAGAACACACATATTGTATTCTTTCATTAATTTTCATATTCAAACGTACTTCTCTGTTAAATGGCAGTCTCTTTAACATTATTCTACATTTCAGGTGAAATTTGCCATTAAGTTTTGGGGGCCCCAACACTTTAATTTAAAGGTACTGCACCAAAAATCAGATTGGAGTGCCAGGTCATGTACTGTACAACTACCTTGCTGTTTATTTGTGTTCTTGCTGGCTTTCACTCACACCTCTGCTTCAACCAACTTCAACTTCAAGGATCTGCAGAAACAAAATAGAAACAAGATATACATAAAACAAATATAAAATACTACTAATGTACATTATGTCCTAACAATGACTTTAAAAAGATAATATGACACGCAAGTGTAGTAAAATTTTGATTAATTGACACTTACATCAACAAGAAAAACACTAAACAAGGTTTTGAACTCTTGTTACTTTCCTTTTAAACTAATCCATCCAAACATTTGAGTGGTGGAAGATTTTATAAAGTATGTTTTACGTCATATACGTTTTACGTCGGTATACAAGAAAAAACAGTTGGGAGAATTTACTGTTAGAGGGGGTTACACATTGCACCTTGAAAAAACCCATAAATAAAGTTGTGTTTGATAGTTTGTTCAGGAATGTTTTGCATTTTAGAGGGTTGGTACAGTAGTAGGAATATAATAAGTAGCATTTCACATGAAAATTTAGGAGTTTTTTCATCGACCTTCAACAATATTATTTTGTATAATCTATTTTGAACTTGTAACATCATGTAAATTACGGTACATCTGATTTCTTTATAATTATGGTGTCAAAAGGTGCGCTTGAAAGAAAAAAAGTCACCGATTTGGCATGACGCAACTTAACCCTAATAAGGCCGGGCTATTTGAGGTCTTAACCACTTGGCTGCGTGCCACGTACATGTACGTGGTCTCGCTCTCACTTGCCTGTGCGCACCACGTACATGTACGTGTTTACAGCATTGCACTGTCAAGACCGTAGCACTGCATAAGGCCTAGCCCTACTGTGTAATTAGCACTGCAATGATGTAATACAGGATTGAACAATAGCTGGCGCTCTTCCCCAAAAATTTCGGGCTCACTAAAAAATTAGAAATAAATGTAAAAAACAAGTATGTACACTGTAAGCAATATATACATGAATATCATATTTCCCCAAAAGTGCTGTAGCACAGGGGGTATGAACACATATTAGGCCATTAGCAGCCAAGTGGTTAATACGGCCGGGGGGGGGGGCATTATGCCCCCCCCCCCCGCAAGATCTCGGCCGTGAAACGGCCGATCGCCACGAAACTTTGCACGCATGTCAAGTGAAGTGTATAGAATAGGCCTACTGTGGTAAATTTAATTTTTAGAAAAATTCATTCATTTCCATATTTATGGTAATTTATGCAAATAAGGTCATACAATTCACATTTTTACCCATAAATCATATATTATTCATATTTAAACATTAGTTTTTACTACATATAATTTTTTGACCATTTAGAATAATATTACCCAAAAAAAAAATTGGAAGAGCGGCGTTATTCCTTATGTTATCTATTGATTTGATAATTTCTTATGTATTTCTTTGTTTTGTTATTTATGTATTTTATTGTTTTTGTTGTTTTATTTTAATTCTCACTATAATTCAACTATTTTGAACCCCACAATAAACACCCAAACTATAAACAAGACCAAATAACCTATGTTTTATCTCTTTTTTGGAAAAATGAGATTTCCATGTTTTGTACACAAATCATGAAAATGAGCGATTTTCGGGCTGACACGCAAAGACAAAAGGTCACGTGACTTTGTAATGGTAGGTCCGATTTTCAAACATTTTATTTCAAAAGATGCGCAAGACTCGAAAGAAAAAAGTCAGCGAGTGGCGGGGCGCCATCCGTATGTGTTCCCGAATAATCAGAACAAATCTGGAGGGGGGGGGGGGGGCCATAATGCCCCCCCCCCCGGCCTTATTAGGGTTAAGGCGGATGCAAAATAATCGCGAACTTAATTGAGAGGAGGGGAATATTCATGCCGCCCCCCCTCCAACCCCTACTTATAAGGGTTAAAAGCAATTTTTTAATTAAGCAAAATATCTTCTCTAAATGGTCAACATGTCTTTAAAGGTACTATGTCCCATTTGCAGGCCAAAAAAATGAAAAAGTTAAATTCCAACTGCATTTGAAAGATAATACTAATTTAGAACTTCCATAAAAAAGGTGGGGCTTGAAAATGTCTTCAAGTGGGAAAATAACGACTATTAGTTGTCAAATCGACTTTAGGGCTATCGAGCCCAAAAGTAATAGTCTTGATTTTCAGACAATTGTACCGAATGGTCATACGTTTTATGCTGCGCAAAGATTTAATCAGTTTAATCTTGGCCATCACAAGAAGTGGGTTATTGATGTACAAAAATGCTAATGTACCCTTTACAACTCTTTTCATGTATGTTATTACCAAAGAAGAAAAAAGCCAGTCAGTCACTCAATAGTGTCTGACAGTGAAGTCTAGCAAGTAAACGGGTTTCCTTGCATAATTTGAATATGAGGACACTGCTAACTGGCTTCAACTAAGCAAAATCTCTCTCCACACCTTGCTTGGCTTTATACTGTATCTGCAGAAGAATGAAAAAAGAAAAAGACGAATGATTAGCTTTCAATCATCGAGTAATAAATTACAACACAATCTTTACACATACAGTAAAAGCAAGGAAACCCTATTGAATTGAATATATTCCACCAATGCATAGTAAAACTGATGTAAAGTTTTAACTGATTTCAATTTTCTACATCAAAAACCTTTTCAAATCAGAATTACATTAATGACCAATTCAGAATTAAACATTGAATTCGCGAACTTAATTGAGGGGAGGGGGATATTCATTCCCCCCCCCAACCCCAACTTATAAGGGTTAAAAGCATTTTTTTAATTAAGCAAAATATCTTCTCTAAATGGTCAATATTTCTTGAACAGGTTAACAAACTAATAGGTTATCATGATAAGGTATGAAATCCATTTGGAAATTAACTTAACATAAACAAACCTTCACTTCAACTGGCTTCAACTAAGCAAAATCTCTCTCCACACCTTGCTTGGCTTTATACTGTATCTGCAGAAGAATGAAAAAAGAGAAAGACCAATGATTACCTTTCAATCATCAAGTTATAAATTACAACACAATCTTTACACGTACAGTAAAAGCAAGTAAACCCTATTGAATTGAATATATTCCACCAATGCATAGTAAAACTGATGTAAAGTTTTAACTGATTTCAATTTTCTACATCAAAAACCTTTTCAAATCAGAATTACATTAATGACCAATTCAGAATTAAACATTGAATTTGCAAACTTAATTGAGGGGAGGGGGATATTCATGCCACCCCGCCCCCCCCCCCAACCCCAACTTATAAGGGTTAAAAGCATTTTTTAAATTAATTAAGCAAAATATCTTCTCTAAATGGTCAATATTTCTTGAACAGGTTAACAAACTAATAGGTTATCATGATAAGGTATGAAATCCATTTGGAAATTAACTTAACATAAACAAACCTTCACTTCAACCTGCTTCAACTAAGCAAAATCTCTCTCCACACCTTGCTTGGCTTTATACTGTATCTGCAGAAGAATGAAAAAAGAAAAAGACCAATGATTACCTTTCAATCATCAAGTTATAAATTACAACACAATCTTTACACGTACAGTAAAAGCAAGTAAACCCTATTGAATTGAATATATTCCACCAATGCATAGTAAAACTGATGTAAAGTTTTAACTGATTTCAATTTTCTACATCAAAAACCTTTTCAAATCAGAATTACATTAATGACCAATTCAGAATTAAACATTGAATTTGCAAACTTAATTGAGGGGAGGGGGATATTCATGCCACCCCGCGCCCCCCCCCCCAACCCCAACTTATAAGGGTTAAAAGCATTTTTTTAATTAATTAAGCAAAATATCTTCTCTAAATGGTCAATATTTCTTGAACAGGTTAACAAACTAATAGGTTATCATGATAAGGTATGAAATCCATTTGGAAATTAACTTAACATAAACAAACCTTCACTTCAACTGGCTTCAACTAAGCAAAATCTCTCTCCACACCTTGCTTGGCTTTATACTGTATCTGCAGAAGAATGAAAAAAGAAAAAGACCAATGATTACCTTTCAATCATCAAGTTATAAATTACAACACAATCTGTACACATAAAAGCAAGGAAACCCTATTGAATCGAATTGAATTTATTCACCAATACATATTAAAACCGATGTATAGTTTAAAGTAAATTGATTTAATTTTTTTGATCAAAAACCTTTTCAAATCATAATGACTATTTCCGAAATAAACATTGAATTCTATTACCAGTATCTGTTTGTTTTTCAAAATGTTCATATAATGATCTCAAAGATGAATTGTGCCTCCTTACTTAGCTTTCAGTCGCCCAGGGCCAGGTCATGGCACTGAATTTTGCATATGTGCATGACTGCATGTTATACAAGTCAAAGCACCTGTGTTTTGAAAAGTCCCACTTTAGCACACCTACTGCCTAAAAACAACAGCTTGCACATTTCACATGCAAGCTGTTATTTTTAAGAAGCACACACTACTGCAAATTTTTATATTTTACCATCATGCACCATGCAAGGAGTAAGTAATTGAAGTGCGTATGTTCAGATATATATCTTTCCCTCAATTAATTACCGGTAAACCACAATGCAAGTGTTTTCTATGGGATAGGCTCTAGCACTGTACTACGTGCTGATCGAGAGGCAGATCGAGAGACCTTTGACCTTGACTTTGTGACCTGAAATTCTCGTCACATGATTGGGGATACTTGATAACCCTAATAGTCCAATTTTCATTGAATAAGATCTTATACTTTTAAAATCATATCAAAACTGTTGATGTTTACGCCGTCACCGGAAAGGCGCCGCCCATGTTTTATATTGATTTGATAATTTTGTATGTATTTCTTAGTTTTGTTAATTTATGTATTTTATTGTTTTTGTTGTTTTATTTTAATTCTAACTATAATTCAACTAGGTTCTAGTCTATTTTGAACTCCAAAATAAACACCTAAACTATAAACAAGACCAAATAACCAATGTTTTATCTCTATTTTAGAAAAATGAGATTTCCATGTTTTGTACACAAATCACAACAAATGAGCGATTTTCGGGCTGACATACAAAGACAAAAGGTCACATGATTTTTGTAACAGTGGGTACAACTTTCGAAAAATTTATTTCAAAAGATGCGCAAGACTCGAAAGAAAAAAGTCATAAAATTTGAGCGCAAGATTCTTTGGCATTAAAAAATGTAGAGGGGGGGGGGGAGACTTCTAAAGCCCCCCCCCCCCCCCCTGGGGAAGATAGGGCTAAGTTGCACTTAATTTAAGTCAAATAAGTGGGGGCCCTCTCCCTGATACCAAAATCATGATATTCCTCTCTTAACAGGGCCTTGTGGCGTGCGCGCCTGTAATCCAGCTAAAAATGGAAGTTACAAACTGATTCAGCCGAGGACGCAGGTTCGAAACTGAGTCACGTCTTTCGGATGGTGACGTTAAAGGTTCCCATGGTCATGGTGGTCCCCAGACGTGATGGTACGCGTCTGTAAAAACCCAACTAGATCTAGATCTACACACACACATATCTCACTTAAAAGTAAAATAGACTTGTCTCTAGATCTAGATCTAGATCGATTTCGAGTGAACTCAATTGAGTTATGTACAGTGGTTTTTGAAATGTTTTAATAATAGTACACAGCCAGGCCAGCTGGGATAGTTATTAGTAATGCAGCTAATGTACTATGCAGTGTGCCACATCCGGGCAGCGCGTTTCCGTTTTACACCCTGCCCTAGGCTTTTCTCCAATAAAATTTTACAAACCGACTGGTATTCGGAGTCTAGTCGTCCACATCTTGCCTCGGCGCTCTGCACACCACCAGAACTCTGAAAACGTCACGTAGCGCTATACTCTCTATACTAGTTGATCTTCCTAGTCGTATCATTTATTTTTATCCATTAATACGCAATACTCTAAGAGCGTGAGGATGCGTGATCAGCTCGCAAAATTTAGCCCAGCGATAACAAAACAATAATATATCGGGAAAACCGTCTTGAACAAGAAGACCCTCGCATCCCCAATTGAAATTGTACATAAGCTTTGGCTTCGCTATTCTTGACGTCGATATAAACAAACTTAGACTTCGGATACAGCATGTTTCGTGTAATTTCTTGCCGAAAAGCCTAGGGCAGGGTGTAAAACGGAAACGCGCATCCGGGCAGAGGCTAACGAACAAAATAAAATTAAAAGAGACAGAAATTTTCGGTCTAAGAACATGAAGAAAGTTGGGGCAAGTTGCCGTCTTAAAAACTCACAACAAACACCGAATCCAGAGCCTCCAGAGGCAGATTTCACTTTCAGGTAACCTAGAATGCTAGATTTTCACAGTACGTTATGTAACTAACAGGAGGGTTAAGAACTAAAGTTAAACTTACAGGCTTTTGACGAGTACGTAGACGTCTCTAGCGACGTGACTTCAGCTCATGAAATGTAGGTCTATGCTCTGTCATAGATAATTTTCTAATGGCGTCTGTTGCGTGTTAATGTTGCATGCATGTCGGCCTAAAGACTTTCGCGACTACAAGTTACGGTATCCTCAAAAGAGCAAATAATAAAAGGGGAAAAAAATCAATTAGAGTCAAAGGTGTAACTGGTTATTATACAGGGGCAACGAATGGTTATTGTTCTCAATCTATCTTCCATAGATCCATTAAGATCAAGGCTACCTGAATATGAATAGACCATAATGCGTTCTTCTTTATATAAACCATTATCAAACGTATTTTTGCGCATTTTTGTTCGTCACGGCCGAACGCAAAATAATTACCCCTCAATTTGTTTTGACAGGAAAATTCCTCATATTTTTTTGAACAATTTGATACCATATTCATCTCTTTATCAGTATTAATAACGGAATGAGCGTCCGTTGAAGATAAATATCCGTGCGTGCTAGCTCATGTATTACATAGCATATATGGGCGAAAACATGCCTATAAAAAGTACATTGGATGAATAAGGACTGCCAATTTTTTCTTCATATTTAGATAGAGTATGAGTCGGAGATATGATTTCATGTCTCATTTGGCCATTAAGTATATTTTTACATAATCATATTGACCTTGGAACTCAAAATACGAATTTGCATATTAGGACGTCAACATATTTACGGAAAATGATTGTATCTCTGCAAATATTGATCAATTTTCTTCTATATTTTGATATGTTGTAGCTGAGACAATTCTTCACAAGATTATTAGCAATATTTATTTATTTTGATGACGTCATTAGATTTTTGCTTAATATGCGTCTTATGCCTAGGGGGGTGATTGATACTACATTCCAGTCTAGACTTGTTCATTATGTTGCGTATGTAGTGCGTCGAAATATCAGTTCAATGATTGGTAGGCTCTGCAATCAGGCGAAAATTTGAGCTTGTTTAGTAAATTAATAGTTTAATCATATAACAATTCTCTATCGAATACCTGAAGGGGGCGCTTTACCACTTTTAATCATGGTCATCGTCATTTAAAACCAAAAAATCATCATCATCATCAATATCGTCATTATCGTATTTATGAATATTATCATTAGATCATCATCGGCACACTTTCATGATACAAAAATAGCTTACGTATCACCTAATTCGTCAAAGTGACGAATTAAAGTCTAGTATTTATTTTGTGTCTGTATAAAAGAAATTATTATTATTCTTCCTCAAGTTTGTTCGCAGGATATCTCAAGACTGAATAAAGCCATTATCATGAAACTTGCTATGATGATAGATCTTAGTCTAACTTAGAACTGCATGACTTTTTAGAGGGTCAAAATTATCGTGACGTCATCCAGGCGCCATTTTGTGAAAATCAACTAATGATCATATCTTCATGACGGAAAAGTATTTCTCATTCATAATTATCACGATTAAGATAAATATCCGTCCGGTCAAGTTGAGGTCAATAAAAGTGCGCAAATGCGCGCGTGCGCGTTCGTCCGCGCGTTTACGCGCGCGCAAAAATTTAAAATGCTCCAAATCATCCCAAATTTTTTTTGCATACGTTTCAGGCCATATGGAGCATTTGATAAAAAAATTACGCACACGCGCATGCGCGCGCGTTTTCGCGCGTACTGGCATTTTGCAACATAGAATCGCCGATTTTTTTCTGTCATCATATTCGGTACATTTTTCCAAGCATTTTGATAATTTGTTCACCTTTTATTTACGCAACGAGCGTCCGTCAAAGTCGACAGCACGCGCGGATTTACGTTATCTTTATCCACAATACATGGGCAAAAACATGCCTACATAAAATTCATTGTAACTCTTTAGAATAGATAGAAACTCCTAATATTTTTTCATATTTGGATAGATTATGAGTCGGAGATATGATTTCATGTCTCATTTTATCCTCAATTAACTCATGACGTCATCATAATGGCCTCCAAACTCAAAAATTCAATTTGCATATTATGACGTCAGCATATTTTTGGAAAATTGATTGTATCTCTGTAAATATGGATCAATTTTCTTTTTAATTTTGATATGTTCTAGCTGAGACAATTTTCTACAAATGTATTTTTCACAATTTTTATTTTTGACAAAAGTATCAGGGTGTATTTTTGCGATTGAAGGAGGCATGTCAATTTTTCGCATTTTGCGTGTATTCTCTATGGGACATGACTATTTCTCAAAACTGGATTCTACACTCCTGTCTTTAGCGAGCAAAATCTCCGTTGTTTTAACTTCGTTTTCGGTGAGCTTCGGATATGTTGTAGCTGAGACAATGAGCTATCTCCAATGTGTACTTCATTTTTCGATCATATGCCGGGATCATGCTCATATTTTACTTGCAAAGTGGGATTTTAGAATTCCATTTTCGTTTACGTGTAATCGCTATGGGAAATGTTTTGGTATATCGGTAACGCACTTGACTTCCGACCTTGAGATCCCGGGTTCGGGTCCGGGTGTCTCCAACAATTTTTTCTCCACTTTTTTTTCCTTTTGACTTTTCACTGTACCATCTCCTTTGATTATTTAAACACGTAGAATCGCAAATAATGTAATAAACAACCCTATTTACTTTAGTGTTTCCCTATTTTCACTTAATCCATTACTTTTTGCGTGTAATCCCTGTGGGAGATAATTTTTTCTCAAATCTGGATTCTACATTCCTGTCTTTTGCGAGCAATATCGCCGTTATTTCTGCTTTGATTTTGTTGATTTTTGAGTATGCTATAGCTAAGACTATGTGCTATCTAAATCACCCCTCATTTTTTCAATAAGATGTCAGGATCCCGCTCATGATTATGATCTTCATCATGATTATCATGATCATCATTATCATAATGATGATAATCATTTATCAATTACATTTTCATTTCTTTGAATAAGATAAAATCGTCAAAATGTGTTCTTCATGATATAAATTAGAATCAAAGGTGTAACTGGTTACTGCGCAGGGTCAATGGTCATATTTTTTCAATCTATCTTCCCTAGATCCATAATGATCAAGGGGACACAATTTAAACTTGACATATGGATAGATCTTAATGGATGAAGCATTTCATAAAATAATATGATATCGTGTAATGCATTCTTTATTATGTAAACCATTAGCATACGTATCACCTAATTCGTCAAAGTGACGAATTAAAGTCTAGTTATTCTTCTTCTTCTTCCTATTATTCTTCCTCGATTTTGTTCGCAGGATATCTCAAGACTGAATAAAGCCATTGTCATGAAACTTTCAATGATGATAGATCTTAGTCTAACTTAGAACTGCGTGACTTTTCAAAGACTCAAAATCATCGTGACGTCATCCAGGCGCCATTTTGTGAAAATCAACTTATGATCATATCTTCATAAAAGAAAGCCATTTCTCATTCATATTTGTCATGATCAAGGTCAATATGTGTCGGGTCAATTTCAGGTCAATAAATGCGCGCAAAAATGCGCGTACGCGAAGGTGCGCGCGTCAATGCGCGCGTAAAATTTAAAATTGCTCAAAATCGTCTTTAATTTTTTTTGCATACGTTTCAGGCCATTATAAGCATTTCATAAAAAATCACGCAAAACACGCATTTTTGCACGTTTTCGTTCGTCACGGCCGAATGAAAAATAATTCCTCCGCAAAAACTTTTGACAGAATATTCCTCATATTTTTCCGAACAATTTGATACCATGTTTAGCTCTTTATCACTATTAAAAACGGAATGAGCGTCCGTTCAAGATAACCGTCCGTACGCGCGATTTTTGTAATACATTGCATATATGGGCAAAAACATGCCTATGAAAAGTCCATTGGGATGAATAGGGATTGCCAATTTTTTTTTCATATTTAGATAGAGTATGAGTCGGAGGTATGATTTCATATCTCATTTGGCCATTAAGTACATCTTAACGTCATCATAATGGCCTTGGAAGTCAAAAATACAAAATTGCATATTATGACGTCATTGTATTTATGGAAAATGTAGTGTATTTCTCTCAATATTCATCGATTCTCTTTGAAATGTCGATATGTTGTAGATAAGGCAATTCTCTACAAGATCACTGTTCACTAAGTTTCATTTTAATGAGGTCATCATAGTACAAAATTCAATTAAAGGCCACATGTCAGAATTTTCGTCATTTGCGTGTTATGTCTATGGAAGGTGAATTTCGTTCACATCAGGAATCTACATGGCATTCATCTATGAGCACTATCTATCTTATGTGTGCTCTGTTTTCTCCCAAATTGGGGTATGTTATAGCTGAGACCATGGGCTATAAAAAAGGGTGACTTTGTTTTTTAATCAGATGTTGGGATCATGTTAAAATTTTCGATCGAAAGTTGAAATTGCAAATTTTGAAGGAATCATTAGGTGATACGTAACGAAGTCAACGTATCACCTTTTGATTTCGTCAAGATTTTTATTTATTCTTCTTCTTCTTCCTATTATTCTTCCTCGATTTTGTTCGCAGGATATCTCAAGACTGAATAAAGCCATTGTCATGAAACTTTCAATGATGATAGATCTTAGTCTAACTTAGAACTGCGTGACTTTTCAAAGACTCAAAATCATCGTGACGTCATCCAGGCGCCATTTTGTGAAAATCAACTTATGATCATATCTTCATAAAAGAAAGCCATTTCTCATTCATATTTGTCATGATCAAGGTCAATATGTGTCGGGTCAATTTCAGGTCAATAAATGCGCGCAAAAATGCGCGTACGCGAAGGTGCGCGCGTCAATGCGCGCGTAAAATTTAAAATTGCTCAAAATCGTCTTAAATTTTTTTTGCATACGTTTCAGGCCATTATAAGCATTTCATAAAAAATCACGCAAAACACGCATTTTTGCACGTTTTCGTTCGTCACGGCCGAACGAAAAATAATTTCTCCGCAAAAGCTTTTGACCGAATATTCCTCATATTTTTCCGGAAAATTTGATACCATATTTAGCTCTTTATCACTATTAAAAACGGAATGAGCGTCCGTTCAAGATAACCGTCCGTACGCGCGATTTTTGTAATACATTGCATATATGGGCAAAAACATGCCTATGAAAAGTCCATTGGGAT